CTAACTTTGAATTTGAAACTTCTATGCTCATTAGACCATGTAAGAATCCCTATTATAATTTGTGGTAAATGTGGAACTAAAAAGTCAACGTCAAGCGAAACAATTATGACTTTGACAAATCCTAATGCTGATTTAACAATTTCACGATTATTAGATTTCACAAAGTTATCCATGGTATCTAGGAGTTGATGGAGGAGTGATTGGTCAAAATCAAACTTGAATTCAAAAAGTAATCTCGATAATGATGCAATAGTAGCGCTAATCATGTGAGGGGTAGTTGCAGCTAATCCCGCAACGACCATTTTGAACACAAATTCATTAATACTAGCATCTACATCTTGCGCTGTTGGATCAGCTTCGGCCACTTTGCTCATGATTATTGTGCCGCCTTCTTTCATCTTATTTCCCATCGTAATAAGTAATTCATATGCTGCAATTCTAGCTTTTTCATTGGTCTCTTTTGTACTCAGTATGGCTTCAGAAAGAACATCTGGAATCATATGAAGATCTGTTCTCGGTAATAATTTAATAATGCTCGTCAATGCTAACAACCGATTCTTTTTCGCAGCAAGAGTAGAAACCATGGCAGATTCTATCAATTTATTTTGTAAATCATCTATATTCTGTGATATTACAATTTTTATATTATCGTTCTCGGCAATTATATTTAATGCCTTATATGCTTTTTTTTGTAATGTGGAATCCTCATTACAAAATAATGCAGTGATAATATCATATAATTTTTTAACAGAATCAATTTCCAAATGTGGTACCATTACAATTAATAAATCTAACATGGTATAAGACCTTGAAGGAATGGTAGATGTAGATGGTTCATTGCTTTGTGGTGTATGATTGGAAAGAGACTGCTTCAGTAAAATTACAACTTTATCAAATGTTATTGAAATATCTTTAGTTGGAGTGATCGTCAGATAAACTTTAATAGAATTTAATATATATGCACTATATGCTGTAGGTGTTTGATTAAATACATTGAAAAACACTGCCAAATAGTTTGCTGCATATTTAGCCAAGAATTGAAAAGCATCTGTATCTTGGATAAAGGAAGATGAAGATGTACCAGTGGATTTTTTGGATAAAAGTTGTATTTCAAAGATCCTTGGATCAAACCCCTTGATCAGAAAAACATCAAAACATAACGCGTCATTATTTAATGAATACAATAAAACAAATGATGGTCGAATTATAATTAATGAATCTGATGAGGAATCTTTATCTCAAGGCTCCGATACTGAAATGGGTGAAGCGGAGAATTATTATTCTGCAGCACAACGATCTAGTGTTGGCTTTACACGCGGTCAAGGAAGTAAAGTTAAATTCAACAAGGGGCAAAGAGACGATGATATGGACTTGGATGTTATCGAACCTATCGATGCTATTACGAAAAGAAATAAAAAGAATAAATCTAAACGAAATGCTATCACAGTTGGTAGAGAATATAAAGCAGAAAAGGCAGAAGGTGATGTGAAACGGAAGGGAAAACCAGATCCTTACGCTTACGTTCCACTTACGTCTATGTACAGAAAGAAAGGTCAAAAAGGAACTAAAATTTCATTAACAAATGGAAAGGTAAAAAAAAGACGGGCTAGAAAATTGAAACTTTAATTATTGTATGACATGTCCCTTTAATAGCTTAAATATTCTAAATGGTTTATTTATTGGTCAAATGTGTTGATGTATCGATTTGATATGTATCTGTATTTATAAAAAGAACTTGATTGATTTAAAAATAAATACAAAACAAAACTTACTATATACAATTTTTTTAAACATCTAATAGTTTTTTGTTGAGTAAATAGAAGATTTAATACCTAGTAGTTTTGAAAAAATCTTGATTTAAAGTTGATATATTTTTTTTTATTATATGAGACTTTTGCTAGAAAAATGACCTTTCGGGGCCATGTAGATTTTATGGATAAAATTTAAATTTGTTATCCACCCAATGGTTCAATCTGAGCAAATCTTTTTTATTTTAGAGACTTTATAAATAAAAGGTTTATTCAAATTAGATCATGAAATGAATAACTTTATTCCTAAAATCTACATGGTCTCGGAGGGTAATTTACTAGCAAAGATCCCATATGTATTTTTTCAGCGTTGAAGGCAACTTTTAGATTTTATTATATTTTTGAATTAAAAATTTATTATTAAGTTATATCAATGTTTTCAAAATATATTTATAAAGTTGATTCATTTATTACATATACTGTATATTTTTTAGTGTCTCCTGTTATTAAAACAAAGTTTGCCAGTCAGAGTATTAAGATTTTAGTAACTTTTTCTGTATATTAAAATTTTTTGAACCATTTATGTGCTAAAAAACTTTCATTACTTTTAGAAAGACATGTAAGTTTAATATATTCGGATTTTTTTTTTTTAAGTAGAATCTGTTGACTAAAAACAGTTTTTGCAAAAATCAAGAGAATATTGTATAATCTTGATATACAGAAGATTTTAATTTCAGCAATAAACGGATCTATAAGTATTGTAACCATCGTAAGGGAGAGCTTGGTACGAGTTCAACTCCGATGATTGACGTTAAAGGGGTCACATGAATTGGACAATAAATTATGGCATTCGGATATTCATGGTTTATTAGGCATTTATTATAAAAAGGAATGTGAATTCTACCGTGAATAAGC